GGTTTATTTTTTTAATTTATTAGCTTTTGCTCTCAAATTTTCTTGTTTTGTTCATAGCTATTTGTTAGTACTTATTACTTGATTAAACTTATTTTATCTGTGTTATTATTTGATTTAAAATTAATTTATAAAACAAAGATTTCAATGAAGCATTATTATTTCAAAACTATTTTGATAAATATGACATTATTTTGGAACTATTTTATAAAACTTCTACATCTCAAAGTGTACAAGAAAAATCACAAACAAACGATGGTTTGCACTATATACGTTTCCATGTTTATTTCTTTCACTTACAGAACTCAACGAAAGTTCCTTAATAGTTTACTAAAAGTTAAGGCGCACCGGAAACGTTTCGCTTTCATAACTGATAGAGTATAACTGTAAAACTTCTATGCAGACTTTGTTGTGACCCGAATTCCAATCGTGATAAAGAAAACACATTTTCAATGATAACCGCTCAGTTGTATTGTTTTAACTGAGTCTTTGATTGGTTGTGTGATAGTGGAGTTTGAGGTTCAAAGCTTGTGGTAATGGTATTTGGTGTTTTTTAATTTTGATCTACCTTAAGTGTAGGGGGTGAGCAGGGGTAGCTCGTTGTCCGATCAGAACCAGACCCGTGCGTCGCGTTTCGCGTGAGCCTCAAAGAGCTATCAGACCACCACAGATGGGGCCCAATAAGACTGATGCCTGATACGGAGCCGCGAAAGACCGAACGTGTGGCCGGGGCTCCGGCTCGAAGAACTGGAGTAGAAACAGGGTGGTTTTTAGTCAGTAAGACTTTGACACTCCCTCTCGCCTAACCCAAGGCGGGAGAAGTCATTGGATGATTTTATGAAAAAAAGGTTGGACTTAATTAAAGGACTGCTTTGTTGGTTTAGTGGTCTGAGGGCTTACTACGAGTGTGTCTTACATAATGAGATCAAAACGTTACTGCGTTCAGCGTTTGTCTGATTGGCCTGTTCCAATGATTCAACCAAACCAGTGCTGAACGGTGGCACGTTTCGATCTCGTACTAAAACACGAGTTTGTTTTATGTTTAACAAGCGGGCTTATGTTCTGGTAGTTCTGGGTTCGATTCCCGAGTCGGGTAAAGGCTGATGAGAGATTTCTGGTTTTTGGGATATTGCTTAAGAATAATAGTTGTTGAGTCTACTATTATGAAGATATATGACAATCAACCCACCCCCTATACCTTGGGACTCATAATAGAACTAATAAAACGTCGGTATAAATACACTGGTCATCAAAAAAATCGACCCACCCACTTTTTGTTTAATATTTATCGATTGTTTCACAGATAAGCCGTTTCACACGTTTGTTTTTTGTTTTAAGGGTCGGATATGATGTTTGACATCTTGTTTGTCGTAAATCTTGTTGCTCTTGAAGGTACTTAACAATTTTTTTGCAGAAACACAGTTAAGTGCTGAATTAACGGTTTTACGTCGGAACAAATTCGATCCGTTCTTTCAATTCCAAGCTGACTTTTGTAGGGATTTCTTGTTAATAACGTTGAGTTTATTTACTGAGAGTGTAGTTTTGATTACTTTGTTAAAAAATAATGGACACTACTGAAGCTGAGGCGGCCCAAGTTGTGGCTTTGCTGCAACAAGGCTTAAGTCAACGTGTCGTGGCCAGGAGGTTAAATTTGAGCCGTTCTGCAGTGCGGCGAGTTTACCAAAGGTTTCTGGAGACTGGGCAGTATCGAAGAAGATCTGGATCTGGAAGACATAGGGTGACAAATCAAAGAGATGATCGCTTTGTAGTGGTATCAGCCCTTCGAAATCGACATCTGTCTGGCGTTGATCTTCAGCGACGCTTACGTGAAGTACGGGGAGTGGCTATAAGTGACAGTACAGTAAGAAGGAGACTTCGTGAACAGGATTTAAGACCACACAAGCCAGCAACAGGACCACAATTGACTACAGCTCATCGTCAAGCCAGACTTCAATTTGCGCGTGATCACCTTAACTGGACTATAGGGCAATGGGAGTCAGTTCTGTTTTGTGATGAAAGTCGAATGACTTTATATGGTTCTGATGGACGTCGTAATGTCATGCGACGCCCAGGTGAACGTTATACCCAGTGTTGTATAAGAGAAACTGTAAGTTATGGTGGGGGCTCTGTAATGTTTTGGGCTGGGATATCTTTGACTGGACGCACAAATTTAGTTTTTATACGAAGAGGTGCTTTAACTGCTGCACGTTACATTACAGAGATCCTAGAAGACCATGTGTTGGCATATGCTGGCTACATTGGAGGGACTTTTGAATTAATGCATGACAATGCACGACCACACGTAGCGCGCATTACGACTGACTACCTTGAAGAGGTCGGCATTCGGGTCATGTCGTGGCCAGCAAGAAGCCCTGATCTAAACCCTATAGAGCACATATGGGACACTCTAAAACAAAAGGTTAGAGCCCGTAATCCAGTCCCCACAACTTTAGAAGACCTGGAAAACGCTATCAGGGAAGAATGGAACCGAATCCCTCAAGAGACCATCAAAATATTGATAAGGTCACTAAAACGGCGAATGCAGGCCGTCATTCGAGCAAGAGGAGGAAATACGCAATATTGAATTGCAATAATTGTATACAAAAACATTAATTTTAAAAAAACTAGCGCGTATTTAAAATTAATAAAAAAATCGCGAAACGTTATAACTTTGCATTTTTTGCCAAAAATATTGTCAGAAAATCATTTTGATGTGTAATTTGTGATTAAATTCGTGTAATTAGACAAGTTAAATAAAACCATTTCAGTTCTGAAACATTTTGTTTGGTTTTGCTTAAGAAAAACGTGATTTACGGTGAAAACGCAGGTGGGCCGATTTTTCTGATGACCAGTGTATATAACTGTTTTGTAATTCTTTTGGAAATTAAAAGGAGTGACGTTATATTATGGAACTATAACATAAATATATAATTATGTCAAAGTTTCATACTTACCCCAGCAATCAATTGACCACCTACTGCGTAGACAATCGGTCGCTGTATGTTGATAATAAATAAAGTCCAGACCTACAGGAAAATTGTTTTCCAACGAAATTACAATCGTATTCTCATTACCGTAAAGTAGATAATCTAGTTCATTATACGCCGGAGCAAATTGTCATTTTTATGTGGACAGAATTCGAAATCAACTTTTAAGTAGATAAGGACGAACTATGTAAAAATACGAGTCTCATAAAAATATTTCTATTAAATTACATTACGAATTGATAGACGTACTACACCGGACTTAAATGCTCCGAAAAAGTTAACGATACAAATTGAACAAAAAAAAAACAGATGACACGCCAGTGACGTCATGCACAAAATGACAAAAACAGCAACATAACGTGTTCTCCTTCTATTGAAATAAAATGTTTTAAAAAGAAATTATAGGAACTAGTACAAAAGAAAAACAAATGATAGGTTAATGACGTCAGACCCAAAATGACAAGGATATCACAATAATCCTCCATGATAATCATAACGTTTTCTCTTTCTACATTAATGAAAGTATTCTACTAGGAATAGAGGAACTCTAAATTCAAATTAAAAACAAATGACATGGCTGATCCAGTGATGTGATCTAAGACTACTGCGAATTATATGTGTTGGTCTGCATTTAGCAGGCTTTAACTAGAAAACGACTTGGCCCCTTTTGCTTAGTGTAATGAGTTGACTAGAAAAATGGTGAAATGCGTCAAATATAGTGGAAAATAAAAAATATGTCTATTGCTCATGTTTTTTTCACCTAGAATGAATGAAACCTCGACTTAAAATATTTCTCCAGAATTTTTGCACCCTGCACAATCATACATAACACAATGGAAGGCCTAGGGATTTGTATAGTACCATTGACCCCGTTTTAATTATGTCAAATTTTCCCCTACCGTAATGAGAGTGGGGAACTGTTCGTCAAGGCAGTTTATGGAGGTCTGTACTCAACAAAAGCTGGCGACTGTCGCAGTCATGTCGCTAAATTGCATGGCGCGGAATGTCCTACCTTCAAGGGTTGAAGATATTATTTTCTTTGAGAATTATAATTAGTGCTGTAGGTGCTGGATATTTTCTAGGAGTAGTGGGTATAAGTGATTCTGTTAAGTTTGTGGGTCAAGGAAATTTTACCGCTTTTCATTCAATATTCGTTATTTCATTGAAAATAGTTGGACTTGCCTCAACTACGAGTAATGGAATAAAATGAACAAGTTATTTCAAGTTACTTAAACAACAAATATACTTATTTGTATATCATGACCCTCAAGTCAATTACTCTTAACAAGTATATAGAGTGAGCTTGCTCAACCGGAATACAAATTGTGAACTTCTTGAAGATTTCGACTTTATTATTTTTTAGTGACGCAATCGGTGCAAGTGTGAAGAAGTTTAGAATTTTCCCCATGTTTTTCACCCTTCAAAATGGTTCTAGGGTGTATAATATTATAACATTCACGCTGATTAAGTCGAGGGGGTCTAGTACATAATGTACACGTACAAGATGAATCTCCGAGGGTCGTGCCAATGTATTTGTTTCTTTTTTCTTGGAAATCTGTTTTAAGGAAGTAGATATTTCCGTTAAGATATTTTTTTCTTGAGAAGAAAATGTTTTCATACGTCGCGTCGGTACCTAATAGCTTTTAGAGATTTACGCAGTAAGAGATTTAAGAAAATTGTTTTTAACATTTTTTCTTCCTTTCCATTCAGGTAGTTTTCGTTTGAGTTTTAAGTGCTTTTGGATATCATTTGATTAGTATTCAAGATTCTGTGTGAAAATTAATCACATTACGTCAGTCGTAGTATTGATTCCATAACTTCTACGGAAAACGTTTCCAGATTAGGCACCTAAGTAAACAAGACTGTGTATATAACTCTAACAATGAGACACCATCATTAACAAGACTGATAGGTTTTTTTGGATTCTTTGATCGATTAAACCACAAACCAATTGAAAATTTTACGTCTAAACCATAGAAATTATATAAAAAATCTTAAAGATGTTTGCATACATACCGTGCTTCCCAGTGTTGGCTGCCGCGAAGGCGGTGCTAAGTATTACGAGGTGCACCAGCATGCTCCCTCCTCGCGCGGCGGACGCACATCGAGCCGAAAGCGCACTGCGACTCACTTCTACTGCAACAAACACGAAGACATTATTAATATTTATGTATATTAATACTCTCTATAAAATATTACCATAATATTATTAAAATTGTAAAGCATAATATTTGCAAGTTTACTGGCCCTTGTTGTTGGTTTTAATTATGCTATTCAATAGTCAATGGAGGTGAAGTTTTGTGTTATGTTATTGTTTAGCATTCCTTAAAAATATTTGGTTCGCATTATGTCATGGCTACTATAGTCCACTGAGGGCCCGCTTTTTTCTTAATATCGTCTTCCCAACGTGTCGTGGGTCTTTCTATATTTCGCTTGCGTTTCGTTAATTTTGTTTTACAGTAGCACAGGATAGAGGAAATTGGAATGCTTTGAAGGAGGCCTTTACCCAATAGGGGTTCATACAGGATGCAAACTAACCAACACTAACAATAAATTAACTTTGAGATTTTAATTTACACTAACAATACTAACAGCAAGAATAAAATGTAAAATTACCTGTAAGAAATAAATGGCTTTTTATTTATTTTATTTATTACTATGTCATGGCACTGATATAACTGCGTGAATAACAATTTTATTGTATTAGATAACGATACGATGTATGTTTACGTATAGTAAACACATTTGCAGCCAAATATATATTTGCATAGTGAATAAATAAAGATGCAATGATCCATTTTTATGTAGAGCATAAAAGACGACGTGACTTCAAATGTAGTCTTTACATAACATTTTCTAGATATCTAAGTAACGTCAAAGGCAGGAGATTTCATTGTGAACTTACATTGTTTCTGACGGCGGCGTAACAAAATGTAAGTAGGTACCTGAATTCAGATTCTGACGTGGTAGCTACTCGTAACATCCGCGAGAATTATTCTAGATAAAATACTCTCAGAATTAAATGTAGCTACTTTCCCAGTCTCAACTGTTCTTATAAGTTTAACAACAGAAGCTCTGGAATTATCAACAAACCCAATATAAGGGATGTTCCAAAATCCAAATTAAGAGATCATCTTCTGTAATCTTAAAGCCGCTATACGAAACCGGAATGGAAAATTATTTTAAATACACAATTGTTAATAAATTCCCACAGTTTCCTATGGAGAAATGTTCAACTGGAGCTCAGCAGAGCGGAAAACAAGCACCACAAGTACCAATAAGAGTTTTCGTTGTGAAATAAAATATAATTCCATCGAGGAACTGGGAGCGGTTTGAATAACAACTCTTTAATTGAAAGTTTAGCAATTTGCTCTTACCCTCCCAAATGGACCCGAAGTAGCGCGGGGCAACTCATCCAGCGCGTTCCAAAATTGAACGTAGGCAGATGCGCTTAATTACCGGCCCAGATGCTGGCCTCCTCGTCTCACCGACGCTTATCTCGAGATGAACCTTCTTAGAGAAGGCCACCGACAATATTTGCCCGCTAAGACGTGCTCAAATGACTTTTTTCAGAGCTCCATTCGCATACCGACGCCGTCGGTAATTAAGAAGGTAATCGGGAATTAAGTAATTAAGAATCGTCACAAACGATTATACCCCTCAGCAGAAGTATAAGTGCCAATTACGTAGCACTCATTTGTGGAATACAGATAGTAATTAATGCAATATGCTAGCGACAAAGTTTTTTGTGCTATGAAAATGTTAGTAATGGATCCATTGGATTGCGTAGGTATTAAAAAATATACATACGCTGGTTAAATAAAATAAAAGTTTTAAAGAACTTTGAAGCTAATATGTACTACTAGATGAATAAAATTTGATTCTCTCTATTTGATATTAGGTAACGGAAGTCAGACTAGGTTTGAGTTTTCCAATAATGTTCGACTAAGTGTCCTTCGCTGGGAGATATGAATCGTAGTCAAATAGAGATGGCTGAGTATATAGAGGTCGTTACGAGGCCTCGGGAGGTGGACGGGCTTCCTACGTGGGATGTCACACGAGCCAAGTGAATCAAACTTCCCTTTACATTTTATCTAACTGCAAGGGCGGTCGAGTTTATGTTCGTCGCCCTACTTGATTTAGTTTTGATGGCGGAAGGGGGACGCTTTTAGATAAATGATTTCACCAGCCCCACTAGACGGTGAAGTGATTTGGTGCTAGGATTTGCAACAATGTTTAGTTTATAGGTGTGGTTAGTTCGATGCAGCGTAATAAGGGTCCTAGCGGAATGGCTTTAGATTGTAGGGACGTTTAAGTGGATTAAATATGATTGCTCGTAGCGACAGATGGGGTTTAAGTGGTCGTTCATAGTTTTCATTGCGCTTGTCGTATTAATTTTATGTTAAATTAATAATGTTGTTCAACATTGCAATAAAGTCATGGAAAGCGGGTTTATAGTAACCATCTAAAGTAGGATGAAGACTATTGATTGTGTACATTAGTCAAACAATGTTCTTCCTACAGTTGGGTTATTACCACGATAAGGTAGTCACTACGTGGTCGCGCTTGACAGTTGGCACCCGATCATCATCGTTACATTTATAATCAATGAAGTACATGAATTGTCATACTCAAAACATACAAGCGTAACATTCAATAAACAACGTAATAAGTCAGTATCTATTACATATAAATCTGTTTGTAATAATAAAATAACCGCTTTTTACTTATGCATATATAAACATATTCACCCAACGCTCTACTTCTGAATCCCCGATTGTAAAAATTCCACCACATTTGTTCATACAGAAGTAGTCTTTAAACATCGAAAATAAGGTCTATAATGGAGTAAGTGGAGAGCGGTCACCGGTGACCGCTTTAGGATGGGCAGTATACATGTTGGAATTGGTATATCGATACTCAGTTTATTTTAATGTAATAGGAACTAATACATATTATAAATGCGAAAGTTTGTGAGGATGATTCAAGTGTGGGAGAGCCATGCTTCGGCACGAATGGGCCGGCTCGACCGGAGTGATACCACGGCCTCACAGAAAACCGACGTGACGCAACGCTTGCGTTGTGTTTCGTCATGTGAGTGAGGTTACCGGAGGCCCAATTACCCTCTCCTTCTCCAATCTCCCCAATCCCTGAATCCCCAACGATCCTAAAACTCCTAATCCCTAAAAGGCCGGTAACGCACTTTTAACGCCTTTGGTGTTCAAGGTGTCCATGGGCGACGCCGATTGCTTACCATCAGGTGATCCGTCTGCTCGTTTAACGGCTTATGTCATAAAAAAAGTATTTGTGTGTGTGTGTGTTTGTTACACTTTCACTTCAAAATGGCTGAAGGGATCGAGATGGAGTTTGGGTAGGTTATAGTCTGAAATAACACATATTTGTACCACTTTTTATCCTACGGGAACGCGGACGAAGCCGTTGACCGAAGCTAATGCAACATAAGAACAATAAGTTGTAGTATATTCAAATGATGGCCGCACGGTTGGCGCGGTGGCTGGACAACTAGCTGCCGCGCAATGTGACGTGGGTTCGATTCCCGCACGGAACAACTCTTTGTGTGATCCACAGATTGTTGTTACGGGTCTGGGTGTCATGTGTATGTGAACTTGTATGTTTGTAAACGCACCCACGACACAGGAGAAAACCTAGTGGGGGGCCACGTTTAAAAAAAGAAGTCGTTAGTCAAGTCAAAGTCAAAATCATTTATTTCAATTAGACCAGGATGGCACTTTTGAATGTCAAACAACAAACATGCTTCAGTGTCATTAAACACAAGACACGAGGAGGAAGCTTTGTGTTCACAATTTCAAAGTCACTAAGGCCAGGGTTGCAACAAAAAGTTACTTTACGTTGTTCAACAACTCAATTAGCCATACGTATGTGGCCTCAAAGGAACAGTTAATAATCTTAATGTACACAAATAATATTATATCCTGCAGTCACAAACACGAGGGTAAATTTACTTAATTAGAGTAATAGTAGTTCTGAATGCAGTTTCGGAACATAAAATTAAACTAATGTTTATTTATAGAATTGAACTTGACTTGTATTTACTTCACATAACATAACATCACGTTTTATTTCGCGAAGGGGTAGGCAGAGCACATTACGGCACTTAATGTCACTTAATGTCACTGTACAATTACAATGTAACACCCACTTTTCATTATTTAGAGGTATGTTACTAGCCCCATGTAATAAGGAGTGAGCCTATTGCCATATACCAGACACAATTCCAAACTCTGCGCTACTACTGAGAATTAAAAAAAAAAACAGTAATATTTTGTTCAACCCGGGAATCGAACCCGAGACCCCTTACCCGGCAGTTGCACTTACGAACACTCGGACAACAAGGCAGTGTTACTTCAAACGTTTCTGTAAATGATTACGTAACATCACACGGTCTTTGCTTAAGTGATAGTACAGATCAGTACTTACACGTTCATTATTAAACATAAGACCTTCACAGAGGGACATATTTATTTATTTATATTGCACAATGTACATAGTAGTCTATGAAGTATTACATACAACTAATTCAGTACATTATCCTGATAGGGCGCAGCAATTTAATTTATAACGAGATAATAAAATAACATCACGCCTTTTTATCCCCGAAGGGGTAGGCAAAGGTGCACATTTCGGCACTTAATGCCGCTGTACAATGTAACACCCACTTTTCACTATTTATGTTATAAGTCCCATGTAATAGGGGGTGAGCCTATTGCCATATACCGGGCACATTTCCAGACTCCGTGCTACTACTGAGATTTTTGAAAAACCCAGTAATACTTTGCCCGACCCGGGAATCGAACCCGAGACAAGCCGAGCAAGGGGCCCGGCAGTCGCACTTGCGACCACTCGGCCAACGAGGAATTATAACTAGATAATATTATATTATAATCATACAATACCATGTAATATTTACTGGCTTATTTATTTATGTATGATCACATTCACTTCTTGCAGTATTATAAAAAAGTCATTCACAGTAAAACGTTACAAAATTTATTTGATTGAACGTTACATATTTTTCCAATGACTTCCAGATGAGCTGGTTAGAAGCGACTTTTTATCTTTATCTAGAGGCTCCCCGCCACCATAGCTAGGTTTTTCATTCGTAAAATAAAAATGGCGACTAAACAATGAAATAAACTATATACTACTGACTACTAAAGAGGTTACATAACTACATAGTCATACATAATTTAAATATCTTTA